CATCCCCAACACCCCAGCACTCATTTATATCACAACACTCATCCCCAACACCCCCAGCATTCATTTATATTACAACACTCATCCCCAACACCCCAGCATTCACTTACATTACAACACTCATCCCCAACACCCCAGCATTCACTTATAATTACAACACTCATCCCCAACACCCCAGCACTCATTTATATTACAACACTCATCCCCAACACTCCAGCACTCATATATATTACAACACTCATCCCCAACACCCCAGCATTCACTTATATTACAACACTCATCCCCAACACCCCAGCACTCATTTATATCACAACACTCATCCCCAACACCCCAGCATTCACTTATATTACAACACTCATCCCCAACACCCCAGCATTCATTTATATTACAACACTCATCCCCAACACCCAGCATTCACTTACATTACAACACTCATCCCCAACACCCCAACATTCACTTACATTACAATACTCATCCCCAACACCCCAACATTCACTTACATTACAACACTCATCCCCAACACCCCAACATTGACTTACATTACAACACTCATCCCCAACACCCCAACATTCACGTACATTACAACACTCATCCCCAACACCCCAACATTCACTTACATTACAACACTCATCCCCAACACCCCAACATTCACGTACATTACAACACTCATCCCCACACCCCCAACATTCACGTACATTACAACACTCATCCCCAACACCCCAACATTCACTTACATTACAACACTCATCCCCAACACCCCAACATTCACGTACATTACAACACTCATCCCCAACACCCCAACATTCACGTACATTACAACACTCATCCCCAACACCCCAACATTCACTTACATTACAACACTCATCCCCAACACCCCAACATTCACTTACATTACAACACTCATCCCCAACACCCCCAACATTGACTTACATTACAACACTCATCCCCAACACCCCAACATTCACGTACATTACAACACTCATCCCCAAACACCCCAACATTGACTTACATTACAACACTCATCCCAACACACCCAACATTGACTTACATTACAACACTCATCCCCAACACCCCCAACATTCACGTACATTACAACACCAACTACCACACTGACACCAAATATTCCTCTAGAAAGACTAAATTTCATAAACAAAGTCTCCTACATACGGACACATGATCCTCACCCGCAACACAAAAAAATATTCCGTAGCGCTCTTAATAACCTGTCAAATATTCCATGCATTTACAACATCTGCAACACTGATCCATGTGCAACATCTGGGTATCAGTGTGACTTTGTAAATGGTCCAAGTCTGACCGAAACGTCGTAAGCTCCTCTCTCCTGCGTGCGGGTAATTTGTATATTGTTCCAGTCACGGTATTGTGCCTTTTTTGTTATGTTTATTTGTAGACGTTTCGCCAATTAGTGGCTTTATCAGTACAATAGGATATACTGTGAAGACTGTACAATTATTTACAAGAGATTAGGTAGTCAGTCCCTCAGTCTTGGAGTTGGTGTAGAGTACATGTGTCTAATTCTCGACTCTCTCGTACATAAGCGTGATGTACAAGTAATACGATGATTTACAAACATCATCATGATGATTTACAAAATGGTGATTTACAAGCAACACGATAATTTACAAGTAGCACGATGACTTACAACACGATGATTTATAACACTATGATTTAGAGGTAACACGATGATTTACAAGTAACATTGATTTACAGGTAACACGACGATTTACAACACGATGATTTACAGGTAACGCGATGATTTACAAGTAACACGATGATTTACAAGTAACACGATGATTTACAAGTAACACGATGATTTACAGGTAACACGATGATTTACAAGTAACACGATGATTTACAAGTAACACGATGATTTACAGTAACACGATGATTTACAAGTAACACGATGATTTACAGAAACACGATGATTTACAAGTAGCGTAGTTATAGAGGGCATGATAAATTAATTTACAAATGGTACAATAATTTACAGCTCCAACGATTATTCACTGCTGGTATGATGATTTACAGGGAGGGCGAATATTTACATGGGGGCGAATATTTACATGGGGGGAATGATGACTTAAAAAGGACATAATGGTGGTAGCCTAATTTACAGCCATGGGGAGGGTGATTTACACCGTCCACACAACGATTTACAGGTTACACTCACCTCCTTCCATTCTCCCTCTCCTTCCTAGTCCTCTTCCTCCTCCTCTTCTTTCTTCTTTTCATCCCCCTACCCCCTCCTCTCTCCTCACACCTGTCATCCATCATACACACACACCTGTCATCTCATCATAACACACACAGCTGATGGCCGCCTCATCCTTTCTTTCATACGAAGGATTTACATTCATGCCACTAAATATGCATCGTGTATGAATATACACGTGTATGTACGTATATTTATGTGTATGCAAGTGTATGTGCATGACTGCGTATGGTGTGCGTGGGTATGCACATTTATGCATATACACGTGTATGTATATATGTATGTATGTACGTTTGTATGTATGTATGTATGTGTATATTAGAGTACGCAGAAAAAGAAAGTCAAGGCGAGACATGATTACGACGTACAAGATACCCAGAGGATTTGGTAAGGCAGCCAGGGAGAGATTGTTGGAAGTTTGAAGACTGCTTAGATGAACCAACCACGGGAATGTTCGGGCAGATTTCCTCAGGGTTAGGGCAGTCAGAGAGTGGTATGACAGGGATGAAGAAGCTCTGGATGCTGACTTCACACACACACACACACACACACAGCTTTAATAACGGGTACGACAGAGCCCGGGAGGCTTAAAATGAGAGGATCAGATATAGCCAGCTGAGAGGCCGAACTAGGAGCGGAAACTCGACCCCACTTTAACCACAACAAGATGAAGAGAGAAAGAGAGAGAGAGAGAGAGAGAGAGAGAGAGAGAGAGAGAGAGAGAGAGAGAGAGAGAGAGAGAGAGAGAGAGAGAGAGAGAGGAGAGAGAGAGAGAGAGAGAATGAGAGAGAGTAAAGGCCAGCAGACAACCGATTTACATTTATATCGCAGTAAGCGCATTCAAATGTCACATTCAATTACCACTTATTTTCAGTTACCACATACCTTCAATTATCACATACCGTCAATTATTGCATATATTCAATTATCACATACCGTCAATTATTGCATTATATTCAATTATCACATACCGTCAATTATTGCATATATTCAATTATTACGTACCATTAGTTATTGCATATGTTCATTTATCACATACCATCAATTATTGCATATATTCAATATCACATACCGTCAATTATCACAACCTAATTATCATATATTCAATTATCACATATCCTCGATTATCACATATTCAATTATCACATACCCTCGATTATCACATATTCAATTATCACACCCTCGATTATCACATATTCAATTATCACATACCCTCGATTATCACATATTCAATTATCACATACCCTCGATTATCACATATTCAATTATCACATACCCTCGATTATCACATATTCAATTATCACATACCCTCGATTATCACATATTCAATTATCACACCCTCGATTATCACATATTCAATTATCACATACCCTCGATTATCACATATTCAATTAATCACATAACCCTCGATTATCACATATTCCATTATCACATACCCTCGATTATCACATATTCAATTATCACATACATTCAGTTATCACATACACTGAACCAAAAAACTGAAACATGGACTACAACAACGGCAGTACAATAACACAAGACATAATTCGCAACACAGAAGTGTTAACACCTGGTTTAATCCACAATAAATCCTCTGGTGTTCCAGGAACGGGTAACGTTAAAGCCGGATTCTAAAATTATACGTTCGTAAACATCCGCCTCTCCATACAGTAGTCTTAAAAAATGGCCGTTGGCGTAGATTTGTGAATTTCTGGGTTTGGTTTAGATATATATATTTTTTCTGTATGTCTGTGTTTTATAGCAGAATTGGTGGGTAACTCTCATGTAATATATCGTCAGCCTGACTTAATCTTTCTCTATATATAACTGTTAGGTCGCTCACACTATCCTCTCTCTATCCGTGTCCCTCTTTCTCTGTCTCTTTCTTTGTCTGTCTGTCTGTCTCTTTTTCTCTCTTTCCTGTTCAGTTTCAGATTGAATTATGTGGTCGTGGCTTCAAAACTTCGAACATTCACAGCTCCTTGCTCAGAATATCCCAGAGTAACAACAGTACCTGGAGGAAACAGCAGATAATCAGGCTCGATTCGAGGAAATGAATGGAAGTAGCAATTCTTTGAAATAAGAGCCCTTCACCGGCACCATGGCGCTCTTGAAGGGACTGGTGCTCAAGGCTCTCGAAGATGAGACTTGGAACTCTTGTTGCAAGTCTGCAAAAAGCCGGTCTGGTCGGGACTGCAACTGCGTGTGGGCGTTCGAGAGCAGTATCACAGACACCAGGAAGTCAAACTGCATCGCTGGGCCTTCAGTGGCTCAGGTTTATTGATGTCTGCCTTGAATTGGAGCCGCCATGAATAATATTATCATGGGAAATAAGGAGGACACGAGCGTCCGTCGTGCTCACACCAGCGTCCGTCACCTGCCTGCTGGTCAGGTCAGATGCACGCCAGCGTCCGTCTCTTGCTGGCTGGGTCAGACACACACACCAGCGTCGGGTCAACACGGAAACTGCGGTGAAATTGTTAATGGCTCTGAGAGCTTCAAACGTTTAGGATTGTTTACGTGCAACTGATGACTTGCTATTTGACCTGCGAAGACCAGTTGTTTGTCCTGTGAAGGCCAGTTGTTTGATCTGTGACGACCAGTTGTTTGACCTGCAAAGACTAGTTGTTTGACCTGTGAAGACCTGTAAAGAACAGTTGTCTGACTTGTGAAGACCAGTTGTTTCACCTGTAAAGACCAGATGTTTGACCTGTAAAGACCAGATGTTTGACCTGTAAAGACCAGTTGTTTGACCTACAGTACCTATTACCTGAGCCTGACTTACCATGACACAGAACTTTAAAAACACCATTACACTGTTGGTTACGTAGAGGTTAGCATATGTTCACATACACGTACACTATGCAAGGAATACCGCACGTTCGCATATACACATATAATGTGCAGGAACAGCGTTCTTTCGCATATTACACCTACGATATACAAGAACTATCGTACGTTGACAAGATACACAAACAGCCATGCACCCACCCATTATCCTTCAAATTCCTAGGAAGGCCTATCAACCTAGCCTTGGTCTGCTCCTCCTCCTCCTCCTGCCTACTCCTTGGCCTCCACACCATGATCCATATGGGTTTAGTGCTTCCCCCGCCATTAATATAATAATAATACAATGCACACCATAGTGTCACTCGCCTGGTCTAGAGGTGTGAGGTGACGGGTCTGCCGTTGAGGAAGGCGTCATCCCTCGGTATCAGCGGTCTCCTGGTGGCGGAGAGTGGCACTATGATCTCCCTAACGCAACCGTCATTCGACTCCAGCTCCCGGGCCTGCTTGGCGGCCCTGCTGCGCCTGGAGGATCCCCCGCGCCTCCTGGGGAACATGGAGTTCTCAGCCGCCAGGGCGTTGTTGATGTCCTTCCTGGCGGCGCAGGTGCAGGCCTTTAGGAAGCTCTTCTTGAAGTTCTCGCTGAGGAAGGCGTACAAGATGGGGTTGATGGCCGAGTTGATGTAGGAGAGTGAAGAGGAGATAAGAAAGAAGATGATCATGACCCGACTCTGCACCTGCTTGGGCATACTGAAGGTGAGGATGAGTTGCAGCACCCAGTAGGGCAACCAGCACAACACATAGACGGTGATCACCGTCAGTACCAGCTTCGTCACCTTCCTGTGGCTCTTCCTCTTCTTCGACTTCGACTTGGGTCCAACGGTCTTGAGTTTAAGAATGACTAAAGTGTAGAATATGAAGATGAGAGCGAAAGGGCAACCGAAAGCCAAAACGAAGGCGTAGATGGTGAAGACAGTGTGGCCGTTGACCCCGACAGCATCCGGCCAGTAGATGTTACAGCTGGCCTGTCCGTTGCTGTCATTAAGAATATTGGAATACATGAAGACGGGAATTATCATAAGAGCGGAGATCATCCAGGCTGTAAGAGATACCAGCTTGGAGATCATGGGCGTACGGAACTTAGGGGCGCTGATGGGGTGGCAGACGGCTATGTAGCGGTCAGCGCTCATAATGGTCAGGAAGAGAGAACTAGTGAACTGATTTAGCGATGTCGTGATCATGAAGAGCTTGCACATGACGAAGCCAAAGGGCCAGTACTCCATGGCTGTCGTGGTCATGAGGAACGGAATCCCCACGACGAAGAGCATGTCAGCAATGGCCAAGTTGAGGATGTAGAGATTAGTGACCGTCTGCATCTTGGAGAACCTGGCGACGACGTAGATGACGAGAGAGTTGCCGCACAGACCCAGGAAGAAAGCCAGCGCCAGGAAGACGAG